GGTTCTGCTACCCTGACTTCTGTGCTGCTGCTGGTGGCGGCGCTGCCTTCATTGCTGGGCAGCTGGAGAGTGGTGGCTGCTGGGAGCCAAGGCCGTCCTTATCCATATGCAAAGCACGCAGCTGCATAGGGCACCAGGAAATTTGAGCTGCGTGCTGCTCCAGGCCCTGCTCCGCCTCTTCCCGCCCCTGCTCCTCCCCAGCTCCGCCCCTTCCCACCCCTGCTCCTCCCCAGCCCCGCCCCCACTCCACCCCTTCCCCAAAGCCTCTGCCCCACCCCGCCTCTTCCCACCCCTGCTCCTCCCCAGCCCAGCCCCCACTCCACCCTTTCCCCAAAGCCTCCGCCCCTGCTCCGCCCCGCCCCGCCTCTTCCCACCCCTGCTCCTCCCCAGCCCAGCCCCCACTCCACCCTTTCCCCAAAGCCCCCACCCCTGCTCTGCCCCAACCCCACGCCCCCTCCTCTGAGGACTGCAGCAGGGGTTGGGTGCCCTGCACTCACCGGGGGCTGGGAGCCAGGGGAAATACCCTGGAGCTAGGGGAGAAGAGCGGAACGGGCTGGGGCCGGGTCACTCCACTTCCTGCCGCCCTGCGAGTGTGGGGTCGGGCCTGCCCTGCACTCACTGGGCAGCAGGAAGTGGAGAGACCCAGCCCCAACCCACTCCGTTCTGTTTGTCTATATCCCCCTCTATAGTCCAGCAAGGACACCCACTGTCTCGCTTTGGGTTCCCTTGGAGTCACCCCTCTTGGGCAGAGAGGCGCAGTCCTCTCCCTCCTGGCCAGGGTATTTCCAGTCCCCACGGCTCCCCGCCTAGACAGTGAATTCCCCAGCACAGTCAGACTGCGTAAGCCGGGCTTCTTTACTTTTCTCCTCGGAGATGGTAAACAACGTAATTACCACGGTTAAGCTACCACACTGCAAGTATGTTTATTCTTAAGGGAAAAGCATTACAAAGAAACGTATTAAAAACAGTCAGAGAACCTACCCACATGCAGGCTAATAGCCAGAGATCCCCCCAACTCCAGTAAGGGCTCTGGCTGGTGAACAGTTCATCAAACCCAGCCGGGGGTTTTCCCGTGGCTACAAGTTCATAACTCCTTTTGCTCATAACAAGAGCCCCATGAATCTGAGTTCCTCCTTTATGCCATTTGGGTCTTTTGATCCTGGGAATAGGACATTTGTAGACAAAGTTCCCCTCCCCAGGGGGAAATTTCCAAAGGTCAGGTCCGGAGACGGGTATTTGCATTCCCCTCCTCCCAAGTATCGCCTAGGAAACCTACCTAACGAACAGCTCGCTTCTCTCCTAGCCCATTGTTTTCAAGAGTCTTTTGAAGCTCATAACAAGGTTTACAGGAGCCACGGCTCCTAGACAAGTTATAAATAAATTAATGGAGATATCCTATCTCCTAGAACTGGAAGGGACCTTGAAAGGTCATCAAGTCCAGCCCCCTCCCTTCACTAGCAGGACCAAGTACTGATTTTGCCCCAGATCCCTAAGTGGTCCCCTCAAGGATTGAACTCACAACCCTGGGTTTAGCAGGCCAATGCTCAAGCCACTGAGCTATCCCTCCCCCTATAATCCCACTGACACCTAAACATGTGCATATTTAATACAACCAGCGCCTAAGAAACTGAACTGTGAGTCAATACGGTTTAACATCATTCAGTGAGTTTTGTCTAAACTATTGCCCTGCCTGCTGCAGTCTAACCGGTTCTTGTATGCTTGGGGATCTCCTACAGCGAAGGTTGCCAATTTGGGTTGGGCATATTCTTGGAGGTTTCATCATGTGACGTAACTCCAGGACAATCCTAGAAAGTTGGCAACCCTAGCTATAGCCTTTGCTTCTCTCCCCATTTCGGTTCAGTCCTCTTGAGGGGGTCAAATTGAGACCTGGGGCCTGATCCCCATTGGCATTACGCCCCTTTACACGGTTGCCTTCCAGGGTCAATCAGTCACACTCACTTGAAGGCCCCTTCGGCTGTGCCGGAGTGATGCGAAGGGGCCGCAGTGTACCTGAGAATCAGGTCCCCACCGTAATCTGGTGCAAATCCATTCCTTTCCCCCAGTGTTGCAGCTGTTCACACCCGGCCTGAATCTGGCATCTGGCCTTGTGGGAGGACAGCCTGGTGGCTTCCTGGCACCTCTGAGTTTAGCGATCGCTGCTGGACTTCCCTCTATCTGCCTTGACATGCTCATCCTGGCCTGGCAGGGACCAGCTGCAGACCATCCCACCTTTCCTCCCCCCCAGTCTTTCATGTGGAGCTGCAGCCTACAGAGACAAGGTTCTAGCTTCAGATGAAGAGGGAGCATTGCATGCTGGGACTTGTAGTCTCTGTGGGCAGCCCTTGTGCACCGCGTAAGGCCCTGGGAACATCGCGTTCCTGCGCTGATTCTCCTGCTGCAGTGAATCTTGGGGAAATCTTGGGCTAATGTCCCGATTCCCACGCAGTCTGGGACACCGGGATTTTCACAGGGGCTTAGCGACGCGGAGCAGGGCAGCTGCGGTCTCTCGCCCCGGTGCCCCTCTGTTTGGGCACCCACCCTATTTGTGAATGCGGGGTAGGGTGAGTGCGTTACTCACCCCTCAGGTCTCTGATCTGTCTCCCTCTTTGCATCTAGACAATGCCAGGCTGGGCAGGAAGAGATCACAGAAGCAGGCCCCCCAGCGCCGCGAGAGTTTCGACAGCCCCTCCTCCCGGGAGGAGAGCTTTCTGGAGTCGGACGAGTACCCCGAAGGGAAATTCAAGGGCGAGGAGGGGCAGCAAACGCTGGAGTCCGAGAGCGAAGCCAGTGCCAAATCAGAGCCCACGACCCCCAAGGCCGGCCGGGCCTCACTGGTGGGGGGCGCCCCGCAGGGCCGCTCGCCCATGACTGCGCGGAACCGGGCAGAGAAGTGCGCTGGGGTCCATATCTCCGTCCCCTTCTCGGTCACCGTCCCCTTCCACATCACCTCCAACATCTCCCTGTCCCGCCTGACCCGGGGGCTGGAGTGCCCGGCCCTGAGCTACAGCCCCTTAGACAAGGAGGCTCTGGAGAGGTCGTCCAAGGAGCTAGAAGCAGAGGAGGGGCTGTCGGCTAAGCTCCCCCTCGACGAGGAAGATCACGTGGGTAAGCAGCTGGTTTGATTTCGGGTCTGTTTCACAGGCATGGTCCATGTTGAAGGGAGGGTCCTGTCGTGTCCCATCCTGCCACCATCCCTAGCTCTGCCACTCACCTGTTAGGTGACTTTGGCCCAGTCACTCCCAGATCCTCAAAGGTGTTTAGGTACTTAACACCCATTGGTGTTTGAAGATCTGGGCCTTAGTGCTGAATTTCCAAAGGTAGATACAGCATGAGACGGGAGTCAGGAGACCCAGCCTGAAGTCCTGGCCCTATTGAAATCCCAACTCCCCTGAGGACCATCATTTCATCCCTCCTTTCTATACCCAGCTCAGCCATTGGCCCCCATCCGTACCTCAGTCGCCTCCTTGGGGAAATGCAGACAATGATGCTTACCCAGCTTTGTAAAGTGCTTTGAAATGTATAGGTGAAAAAGTGCTAGAGAATTCTAAGGATGAGGGTTAATAAATTGCAGGCACCCAAACCCCCCCGGGGCATGGGAAGGACTGCCCCAAAATAATCCTTAGAGAAACATCAAGTCGTGATCAACGTTGTCAGTGCCGGAGAATCCACCACCACTCTCAGGAACTTGTTCCAACTGTGAATTACCCCCACTGTTAAAAACGCACGCCTGATTTCCAGTCTGAATGTGTCTCGCTTCAGCTTCCAGCCGCTGGATCCCGTTCGACCTTTCTCGGCTAGACTGAAGAGCCCGTTATCAAACGTTTGTTCCTCACGTAGGTGCTCACAGACTGTGATCAAGTCATCCCTTAACCTTCTCTTTGTTAAGCCAAATAGATGGAGCTCCTGGAGTCTGTCACTGCAAGGCAGGGTTGCTAATCCTTTAGTCATTCTTGGGATTGAATTGCCTTAAATGGTCCTTAGAATATTAATAACCAAAAAAGCAAAAAATAACAGCACAAATAGGGACACTGTCAAATTAAAGATGAAAAATTCCCCACCTATTATAAATTATTGTTATTACCGTAGTGCAGTGGTTTTCAACCTTTTTTTCATTGGTAGACCCCTAAAATATTTTGAATACAGGTGCAGGCCCCTTTGGAAATCTTAGACATAGTCTGCAGAGGTCCGTGGACCACAGGTTGGAAACCACTCCCATAGTGCATGGACCAGGACTCTGTAGCATCAGGAACTGTACAAACCCCAGTTCCTTGTGCAAGGGGCTTAGACTCTAAGTACTACAGAGCAGAAAGAAATGTAAAGAATCTCTGAAGTCTAAAATATATTGCACCACTGACTCCTTTCTGTGAAATAGACGGACGTGTCAGTTTCACTTTCTGGTGTGATGCACTGGGGATCTCCGGAGCTGGCATCAGGAGTGGCTACAGCTTGAATGAAAGAGTTAAGGCTGCCTATGCGGGCCGGTAACAGACTCGCATCCTCAGGCATAGAGTCAGGAAGGCTGGTCATACATACTGGCCAGTGGGTTACGCGAGCAGTGATACTCAGACCTCAGTGGTTCAGGAGCCAAATTAGTGATCAGCATTAGCCCAAAGAGCCACGGGAGTGTGAATTCATTCTTTCATTTACTCTCTATATAGTATTCTCACAGCAAAATGACTGACCAAGTATTCTCCAATTGGTAACGAACATAGTAAAAGCGTCCTGCATGGTTAATAACTTAGACTGGTTAATAATTAAATCACACCGTGTTTTAATATCAGGTGCTGCAAAGAGCCGGGGGAGCAACATTAAGGAGCCACTTGCTGCTCCCGAGTTTCAGTCTGAGTGTCACGAGCTATCCCAATGCCCCAGTGTCGGGGTTGCACGCTCCACAGGGGGGTGAAATCCAAATGAAAAACTGTCTCAAGTGGAATTTAAACAAAAACGATAATAACCCCAAATTGAATCGAAATGTGACTGTTGATTTGGGGTTTTCTTACATTGGGTTTTGTACCAAACTCCTGCATTTTTCAGCTGAAATCGACCAGAGTTTTTTAAGATCTCCTGCGTCCAAAACGTGCAATGATGTGAAAATTGCAAATAGATTTTACAGCTTACAAGCTTCTCCCCCTGCCCAGGGCCAAGTTCAGGGTTCTGTTTCTCTTTGCAGTAGCTGATGCACTGGGGCTGGGAGTAGAACCCTGCAAATCTGCGGTTCTCCGCTTTATATCCGCGGAGCATGTTTGCGCATCACGGATCGGATGCGGATACCAATGTTGTGTCCACGCAGGGCTCTAGCTGTGAGTGTACTTGCAACATTGTAGAATCAGAGAACTGGAGGGCTGGAAGGGCGTCTCGTCCTTCGCCCCGTGCTGAGGCAAGATCATGTAAACCCTGCCGATCCCTGACAAGGATTCGTCCAACCTCTTGTTAAAAATCACCAGGCTGGGGATTCCACGGCCTCCCTAGGTCGCCTTTCCAGAGCTTAACCAGCCTATACCAGTTTTACCTGGACATGTGTTTTTAAATTTCACCTCGTTAGGATGAGGAACATCTGAGATTGTTAAGAACTAGAGGTCGGCCTGAATGAGAACCCTGGATCCAGAACCCTAGACTTTGCGAAAGGCACTGGGACCATAGGCACCGACTCCAAGGATGCTCTGGGGCTGGAGCACCCACAGAGAAAAATTAGTGGGTGCTCTGCACCTACTGGCAGCCAAGCTCCCCTCCCTCTCTGCCCCACCTCCTCCTCCCCCCCGATTGCACCGTATCCCAAGTCCTCCGCCTACCTCCCAGCGTTTCCCACCCGGCCACCGCCAAACAGCTGTTTGGCAGTATTAGCACACTCCGGGGTGGGGGGGGAGGGAGCGGGAACGTGGCGCGCTCGGGGGAAGAGGCGGGGCCGGGGTGGGGATTTGGGGAAGGGGTTGGAATATTGGCAGGGAGGGGGCGGAGTTGGGGCGGGGACTTTAGGGAAGGGGTTGGAATGGGGCAGGGAAGGGGTGGGAAGAGGCAGGGGGTAGGGGCAGGGCCTCATGGAAGGGTTGGAGTGGGGGGCGGGGTTGGGGGCAGAAGGGGAGTCAAGCATCCACCGGAAAGAGGGGAAGTCGGTGCCTATGACTGGGACCCAAACTAGGGTCCAGTTCTGTTTCAAATCATCTTTGCTTATGACCGGAGTTGACACGCAGGCTGCGTTCCGCTCTGCTGTGGCAGTGTCTAAGGACCTCAAAAAGGGATCAGGGCCCTATAGTGCTAGGTGCTGTACATGCAAATCACAGAGCCAGCCCATGCCCTAGGGAGCTCATAGTCCAGCACAGACAGGACACAACAGAATCAGCAGACACCCAGGCACGGGTGGGAGGAGATGCAGTTGACGTACCCTCTGAAGCAGTTTGTTACTCAACCGCAGCATCTCACTTCCCCATTCCGAGTGGAGGCAGGTCAGTGATGAGCCAGCCAGACCTCAGCCCCACAGGCAGTATTTAGGGAACTTTCCCTTCCTCTACCCCATGTTGTTTCTGAATGTGCCTCTCTCCCACTTTCCTCCTCTGCCGCGGCTGCATGAGTAGGTTAGGGCTTCACCTGGCTACCCCCCCCCCCCCCACAGTTGACAGGGCTGTTGTCTCGTAGCCAAATCTGGCCAAGCTTTCCATCTCTACCATGACGTTTGCCCAGCCCTGGTGAGTTTGCATGTCTCGGCACCTACTCCAACGGAGTGGCAGGCTAGCCCAGTGGTTAGCGTGCCAGTCTGGGACGTCTGAGACCAACATCCCTTTCCCTGGCCTCCGTGACTTTGTGCGAGTCACTTTTGTGTCTCTCTTTGCAATGGAGACAGTAGCCCTGTCCTATCTCACTGGGGAGTTGTGAGCAGAGAAGAGTAAATGTGCCCAGCCCCCCTCACACACATACTTTGGCAGGCACCTAAATGATCTGCAAATCTGGGTCACCGTCAGCAAAAAGTTTTGGCTGAATAAATGCAAACGAGTCAAACCGAATGATTTCATTTCGAAAGTTAGCTTTAGTTATTTTACCAAAGGGTGAAAGACACCCAAAAACAAAATGAAAGATCAAACCAAACCGTTTCAGGTCAAACAAAATGGTTCATTCGGCCCCCAAACTCCTTTGGTCGCTGTTGTTCTATTTGGAGGAGAAAAACCAAAGCATTTCAGTTTGGGTTGCAACTGGAATTTATTTCAGATTCAGCCCCCTCCCTGACCAATCAATTATCCTTTTGGCTCTAGTGGCGAGAATCAATTCCTTACAGATTGTGAGGGGCTCAGACCAGGGGTGCTGGAACAGGGGGGGCCAGGGAGACATGCCCCCCCCCACTTTTTACCAGCCATAACGGAGAGTGATGGGGGAGGGGGCGGAGAGGAGCAAGCGGGGGCAGGGTCTTGGGGGGAAGAGTTGGCATGGGGCGGGGGAGAGGGGAGCGCGAGGGCAGGGGCTTGGGGAGAAGGGGCAGTGTGGGGGCAGGGCCTGGGGGGGGCAGCTCAGCATGGGGGTGCAGGGCCACAGTTCGGGCACCGGTGGCCCTCCCACGTTAGGGCACTTCCATCGCTCCTGCCTCAGATGCAGCGGTGCCTGGGGCCAGAGCAGTATCACAGATAGTTAAAGTGTCCTCTGGGGGGCAGCAGAGACAGGTTGAGGGTTTATTTGGACCGAGAGACCATCAGTCATAACAATGCTGTGTCCTTCCGCACCTCCCTGCGCCAGAGGGCTCCAGGCATTTCCCAGACACTCATGAATGACGCCTGATAACAGCCCATTTAGGGGCACAGAGGCATGACCTGGATGCAGTGAGGGCATGTCTACTCTACAGAGCCGTGGCCGCTACAGGTGTGCCAGCAAAGCCCCCTAGATGGCAAAAAGAGTTCTTCACTCAGCATCGCCTCAGCACCTCCAAAAGCACCCTTCTTGTGGGGTATGTGCGGCTACCCCAGGGGTTTTGCCAGCACCACTACACCAGTTAGGGCGGGTGATTCTTTTTCAGGCTCCTAGCCGGCATTGCCATGCCGGCAAAATGTTGGGGGGCAGCTCAAGCCTTGTCGATTAAGATGTCAGGGAAAGAGGGCTTCTGTGAACGGAGCTGATGTCATTAGTGGTGCTGCTACGCCAGCGGAAAACCCCCGTTTGCCGGTGTGGGCGATGTCTGGGCTAGAGGGCTGTGCCGGCGTGGCAGGGCTGGATCAGCTCCATAGCGCAGACAGAGAATTAATCTGCGGCTGAGGTGGAAAGAGAATCCAGGTCTTCTGAATCCCAGGCTGGAGTTGAGGTCAGGAATGGAGAGTCAGGCCGCAGGAGGAAACCAAGAGAGGGTTAGCATTAGGTGAGCAGTCCAAAGCGGGGCAGAGCCCAAGTGTACAGGCAACTTCCTGTTCCGTCTTCTTGCTTAAGTAGGGGCAGTGGGCCAATCAAAAGCTCCGGTGTTCCACCAATTGGGACCCAGGAGTAGAGCCTTCTAGCTGAGCTGGGCTTCAGGGATTCCCAGTTCTAGGTGAGGCTTCTACATAGGCGCTGACTTCCCCTCTGCCTGGTGGGTGCTCGACCCCCCCCTCCACCCCGCCTCTTCCCACCCCTGCACCGCCCTTGCCCCACCCCTTCCCCCAAGTCCCCGCCCCTGCCCTGCCTCCTCTCCACCTCCTCCCCTGAGTGCGCGGCATCCCTGCTCCTCCCCCTCCCTCCTGGAAAGTCTTAAGCACTGCCAAACAGCTGTTAGGTGGCGGAGTGACGGGAAGTGCTGGGAGGGAGGGGGAGGAGCAGGGACGTGGCACACTCGGGCGGGGGGAGAAGGAGGTGAGGAGGCAGGAGCTTGGCTGCCAGTGGGTGCGGAGCACCTGCTCATTTTTCTCCAGCCCTGGAGCACCCATGAAGTCGGCGCCTATGGGCCTCTAATTGGTTGGGTGAAGGCTTGGAGCATGATGACCCTCCCAGGACTCTTACAGACCTGGGTTTGCAACCTGTGGGTCATGACACTTCGGGGCTGGTCATGGGGTGCTTGGCTGCCTCCGTGTTCCCACCTGCTCAATTGCATTCAAGTAACAGCCAGATTGGGTCAGACCACTGGTCCAGCTAGCCCAGTTTCATATCTCTGAGAGTGGCCCATGCCAGATGCTAGAGGGAATGAACAGAACAGGGCAATTATTGAGTGATCCATCCGTGGTCATCCAATCCCAGCGTTTGGAGGTTTAGGGACACCCAGAGCATTGAGCGGATGATGTTTTCAGAGGACTATTCACAATGACTCCAAGATCTCTTTCTTGAGTGGTAACAGCTAATTTAGACCTCATCATTTCGTATGTGTAGCTGAGATGATTTTTTTCCAGTGTGCATTATTTTGCATTAATTGACATTGAATTTCATCTGTCATTTTGTTGCCCACTCACCCAGTTTTGTGCGATCCCTTTATAACTCTTCAGTCAGCTTTGGACTTAACTATCTTGAGTAATTTTGTATCCTCTGAAGACTTTGCCATCTCTCTGTCCACCTCTTTTTCCAGATCATTTATGAATATGTTGAAAGTACTGGTCCCAGTACAGACCCCTGGGGGACACCACTATTTACCTCTCTCCATTGTGAAAACTGACCGTTTCTTCCTACCCTTTGTTTCCTATCTTTTAACCAGTTACTGATCCATGAGAGGACCTTCCCTCTTATCCCATGACTGCTTACTTTGCTTAAGAGCCTTTGGTGATGGACATTGGCAAAGGCTTTCTGAAAGTCCAAGTACACTATATCCACTGGATCACCCTTGTCCACATGCTTCTTGATATACTCAGAGAATTCTGATAGACTGATGAGGCACGATTTCCCTTTACTAAAGCCTTGTTGACTCTTCCCCAATATATTGTGTTCATCTATATGTCTGATATTTCTGTTCTTTACTGTAGTGTCAACCAATTTGCCAGGTACTGAAGTTAGGTTTACCGGCCTGGAATTGCTGGGATAGTCTCTGGAGCCTTTTTAAAAAATAGGCGTTGCATTAGCTACCCTCCCTCATGTAGTACAGAGGGTGATTTAAGTAATAGGTTACCATGTGCAGCAGCAGTCAAAAACACTAACAAAATGTTAGGAACTATTAGGAAAGGGATAGATTAAGACAGAAAATATCACAACACCATTATATAAATCCATGGTACGCCCCAACCTTGACTACTGCGTGCAGTTCTGGTTGCCCCATCTCAAAAAAAGATGTATTTGAATTGGAAAAAGTACAGAAAAGAGCAACAAAAATGATTAGGGGTCTGGAGCAGCTTCCGTAGGAGGAGAGATTTAAAAGACTGGGACTGTTCATCTTGGAAAAGAGACAACTAATGGGGGTATGATAGAAGTCTATAAAATCATGACTGGAGAAAGTGAATAAGGATTTACCCCTTCACATAACACAAGAACCAGAGGTCAGCCAATGACTTTAATAGGCTGCAGGTTTAAAACAAACAAAAGGAAGTAATTCTTCACACACCGCAGTCAATCTGTGGAAATCATTGCCAGGGGATGTAATGAAGGGCAAAAATATAACTGGGTGCCAAAACTAAGTAGATAAGTTCCTGGAGGATAGGTCCATCAATGGCTGTTAGCCAAGATGGTCAGAGAAGCAACCCATGTTCTGGGTGTCCCTAAACCTCTGACTGCCAGAAGCTGTGATTGGGTGACAGGATAGATCACTCAATAATTGCCCTGTTCTGTTCATTCCCGGTGAAGCATCTGGCACCAGCCACTGTCAGAAGACAGGATATTGGGCTAGACGGACTATTGGTCTGACCCAGTTGGGCCATTCTTACATTCACCAAAGGGGGAGGACAAGAAAGAATCATCTTAGATTGCAGCAAGGGAGTTTCAGCTGGATGAGTAGGAAAAATTTTCTAACTGTGCAGACCCAGAATCAGGCACAGGAGAAGCTGAGCAGAACTTCAAGGCAATGGAGCTGGTCCTAGTCACTTCTCCTGGGTGTCTCCTTCCTTCCTTCCCTCCCTTGGGCAGCTTCCTTCCAGCACAGAGCTCTTGATGCCCCGGGCCCTCATTGAACTGGATTTCTCAGGCCAAGTGTGTGCCCCCCAAAAGAGCCAATGCCCCCAATTCGGTTGAAGGTTCCAATGGTCTCCTGCTCCCCACCCCCAACCAAAGCCAGAACAAGACCCAGTGGCTGGAAGTTAAAGCCAGGCACGTTCCAGTTAGAAATAAAGCAAATTTCTAACAATGAAGGTGGGTAACCACCGGAACAAGCACCCAAGGGGAGTGATGGATTCTCCAGCTCGAGATGTCTTCGGATCCGGAGCAGGTGCCTTCTGGGAGACATCCTTTAGCCAAACACAAGTTACTGGGCTCAACACAGGAGGAAGGGGGTCAAATTCTACAGATCAGACTCGATGATCTAATGGTCCATTCGGGCCTTAATATCTACAAACTTCCCTTCCCCCTTTACATATTTCATTAAAAAACCCCTCAAATTTTGGATATTTAAATGAAGCTGCTACAGGCGCCAGAGACCTGCTGCACAGGAGCACCCCCCAAATCCAGGGACCTTGCCACTGAATTTCCAGCTAGCTTGTTCTAGAGCATACAGAGCCCTGGAGATAAGGTGACACTCCCCAAGCGTCCGGAGGGTGCGGTGGCCACGGAGACAAATTATTCTGGGCTAACCTGTGAACGTGATGAAGTTAAGAAAGGGGGAATTTAGGCTAAACTTCTCTGCTGGTGTAAAGGGGTGCAGCTCCATGAACGGCAGTAGCCTTTATTCACCCAGTTACACCGAGAGAGAATTTACCCACTGAAGGGCTGTTGGCCAGTGGAACAGTCTCCGAGGGGAAGTGGTGGGAGCCCCATCCCTTTGGGGCTAAGCCTGGAGTGGACAAAGCTGGGACGGATTCTCTGCCTTCATCTGCACCCAGTGAGCTGCTTGGGCAACAGAAAGGGAGTGGGGATCGAACCTGGGACGTCTAGACTCATCACGCGCGAGCGCCCATTGCCTGAACTAAGAGACTTAGCCAAGGCTGCAGTAGGCTCATCAATCTTAAACTGGCCTAGCCCCTGCTAGAGGGGGACAGAAAGCCACATCCAATAGGCATAGTTCACAGTAACTTCTGTACCACTCTTGCCATGGTAACTGGCTGTGGTGGCTGATTTCCTGGCTGCTATCAAACAGTCTTGGGGCAGGGAGGCCTCGTCTTCTCCTGAGCCCAGGGCTGGAGTCCGGACCTGTGAAGAACGACAGTCACTAGAAGGGCTGCGGGGGCCCCTTGCTGAATCCATCTTCTGTGTTTAATTCTTGAAGCAGATACAAAGCCGGCGAGTGCTCTGGACTCGGAGGAGAACAGGCTGTCCATGGAGGTGCAGGACTCCTTCTCGTTTCTCGACAACCAGGACACCTGGCAGGACTGTGGCACGGAAGGCGACCAGCCAGAGAAGAGCTTGCTGGAAGAGACCACCTCCGATTTTGCTGGGGACATGCTGGATGGCTTCCCAGGAATGGATGACGACATGGAGAGCAGGTTCATGAATGTAAGTTCCCGGTCGTGCTGAAATCTATATCCTGGCCTTTAGCACCAGCCGTGTATTAGAAACTGAAGCAGTGAGCTAGGAGTTGTAGGAAGAGCGAAAGGGATGGCTAGACAGATGGGTGTGCATGGGGGTGGACAGACAGAAGGTTAGAGGGCTGTGTATGAGGACTGACAGACGGACAGGGGTGGGTGTGAGGATGGGCAGACAGACAGATGTATGGAGAGGAAAGGAGGAGAGAGGCATGGCTGGATGTATAGCTAGAGGGATGAGGCTGGGGATGGATAAATAGAGGGATGTGTTGGAGAGGAAGGAAGGCATGGCTGGATGGACAGCTAAACGACTGTGTATGGGGATGGACAGACAGACAGAGGGGTGAGTAGGAGGATGGATAGATTAGATAGACGGACAGGCAGACACTCCAGCTGATAGATTGTATTATGCAGCTACTGTTTCCTGTAGGCACATTAATTACAGGTTACATACCTGGTACAAATCGGTCCATTGTCTGAGCCCCCCTGTAGGAACGCTGTCCCCTCATTACTACATGCCGTCTCTGTAGCACCCAAAGGGTGCTAGAGAAGGAGGCAAGACCCCTGCCCTGAAGAGGGGGCAATGCCCCTCACCCACGCCCCCCAGCCACCTCTTCCCACTCCTGGGAAACCAGAGAGGCAAATTCTGGCTACGACAGGCCCAGTGGGGAAGTGAATGCAGAGCGGAGGGGCCCCGGCTGAGAACCCCGTGCCAGCCGTGCCCACCCCCCAGGGAAACTGGAGGCTGTTAAAACCTCCATCAGCCAAATCAAGGCCACACTCGTGCCAGTGACAGCGCCTGCGGTTGTGGTGTGACCAACCTGCGTAGTGACCCTTCTGCGTGCTTTCAATCCCTAGCCGGAGTTCTCGGTGGAGCCGCCCCCGGAGTACCTCTCCATCGAGGAGTGCATGAATGAGGAGCAGTACTACATGGCCACCGGCTGCTCCGACACCGAGGAGCTCTCCAAGGAGACGGACTCCGAGGACGTGTTCCTGAGCGCCTACGATGACCTCAGCCCCTTAGCTCCTGACCTAGAGAAGCTGCGACAGCTCGGTACGGAGCACGGGTGGGATGTGCCTCTCCCAGATGGGGCGCTGGGTGGCGAAATGGCTCAGGAGATGCTGAGCAACCAGCCCCCAAGACCTGCTGAGGAAGGGCCGTTAGCTAGCGACACCAATGGCTCCTCTTTGTCCAAAGAAGGCAGCAGCACCAAGGTGCCTCTGCCAGACAGCCCTCATGCTCCAGAACTAGCCTCGCCATGTCGGAGCAAGGAAGCCGCCGAAGATCCCCACGGCCCCCTTCGCCAGCCAGAGGGGCTCGAAGGGGACGGGGCTGAGGGAGAGGCTGTGGAGTCCAGCCCAGCCATCCATCAAGAAGAAGACATAAATCTAACAGGGGGAGATGATCTTGAAGCAGGCCCTGGCCCACCCAGAACTAAGCCCACCACTGATGTAGCGCCAGTGCAGGAGCACCAGGGCACATGGGCTCCGGAGAGCGAAGGCCATGGAGCCCAAGCCAGCCATGCCGGAGATGAGCAAGTGCAGGCCCCAAGGCTAAGGGAGGCAGAGCTGGCTCCGTGTGCTCCAGGCCAGGAGGCCGACGGACGTGCCCCAGAGGAAGTGAGAGCGCAGGAGGGCCAAGGGGGCTCGGCTCTTCCCACACCAGAGACCAAACAGCCGGAGAGTGGAAAGGGCCCACCTCAGCCTCTTGCAATGAAGACCGCACCTGCCCTCTCACCGGGATCAGGGCCCGAGCTCCCCACTGTCCCCATATGCGAGAGTGGCCCCATGTCCACTGCCCCCTTTCTAGAGACAGGCCTCGAGACCACTACTGTCCCCCTGGATCAGAGTGGTCCCCAGGTCTCCATCTCCTTGCTAGGGACAGGCCATGAAGCCCCCACCGCCCCTGGGTACGAGAGCGACCCTGAGGCTGCTCCGTTGCTTGAGACTAGCTCGGATCTTGCGTCTTGGTCTGACGCTTCCTCGTTGCTGTGGAGTGGCCCCACAAGCCTTCCCCTGGAATCTGGGCCACTGAAGCCCACAGAGCTTCCCACTCTCCCCGAGCCTGACACACCGGCTGGGGTGCGCCCTGACGGGAGCGCCCCCATGAGAGTCACTTCCAGCACCGTCCGAGTCCAGCAGGTGAAATCCGTCCCCATAGTGCCCCCCAAGCCTCAGTATGCCAGGATGCCTCCTACTGTGAAGATGAAGATGCACCTGGGTGAAGCATCCACGTGGCCCAAGCTCTCTGCTTCGGAGAAGAGCTCCAGCGGTGGGGAGACCAGCCTGGGGAAGGGGGCCTCTCTCCAGAGGCAGTCGCACCCTGTCAGCCTGGGTGCGTGCTGCCGCGTCACAGAGGGCACAGAGTCGAACGAGGAGTTTCCCCCGCCCAGCCCTGTAGAGAAGTGCCCCAGCAGCACAGAGAGCCGTGAGCCCGCCGAGACCTCCCTCCAGAAGCAGAGGCGAGCCAGCTGGCGTAACGGCGGCAGCATGTCTTTCGACACGGCGGTGGCCCTGGCCAAGCAGAGGCACTTGGCCCAGGCCCCGGTTCGGAGGATGCAGACCTACTGCGCGGGGGATGGTCGGGAGATGCACGGTGTTCCCAAGGTGGAGAAGCCCCCACCATTCCCCAGGCCTGCCCTAAAGCCTGTGGGCCAGCGCTCCCTGAGGCCGCTGAGCTGCACCAGCGCGCTACTGTCTCCAGACGCCCTGGCTCTGGGCAAGCACCCGCCCCTGCCTGACACGGCCTGCGAACCGCACCTGGCGCCTGACCAGGAGCCACTGCCCTTCGCCCAGGAGCCCACAGCAAGGAGCAGGCTGAGCATGCCCAGGCTTGGCCAGCGACCGTCAGACATGGAAGAGGCAGTGGGGCCTCTCCCACAGCAGCGGCGGTCGCTGGCTTTTGAAATCAGGGACTGCGGAGGGTCGGAGTTGTGAGGGAGTGGCGGGGACAGTTCCATGCTCATTGACTGGTGGGCTGCCAAATCTCAACCAACGTGGGTTACGGCCTTAATGCACCATCCTGCACCCGCTGCTCCGAGTCCAGCCCTGCTGCGGGTGGCTGGCACCAGACGATCGGGGCTGGGAGGGTTGGGTTGTGCAGCAGGAAGAACCCTGCTTGTGTGGTGCAGGGGAGAGGTCTGCTTTCCAGGAGCAACCCCTCCGAACTGCGATAGGCCACATGAGCTCCAGCCTCAGCCAGAGCGAACGCTGCTCAGACACGATCGTTGAGACAGCCATTCCCTCCGCGTCTCCTCCAGAATAGTGATGTTCATCTGCAGCGCAGACGAGAACAAGGGCTGCTCCAGCCAGCTAGATCCACTTCCACCAGGGCAGAACCTGGCCCAGCTTGGCATTGGGTGGGTGGGGAAAGCCATGGGGCTGGTGCTCCTGTCAATAATTCGAGGCTGGATTCTCCAAGGTGCTCAGAACTCACAAAACCCACTGGTCACTGGGAGCTGCAGAGGGCCAGCAGCACCTTTGAGTGAGGTCACCAGTTCCTATCTCCATCCCCGGGCGAGGGAACACCAGCCCTGGAGACACGGGGGTCATGATTTTTAAAACAAGAGCAGCGGAGGGTCTCTCCAAAGACGGCACTGGGCTGAACCACAGCAATCTTGCTCCCAGCTCCCCCACCCCTTTGCAGTCATCTCCTCTTTTGCTTTTAGGAAATAAACAGGTCAAGGAAGTTTCCTCTCTCCTGAATTCAGCCCCAGGGCTTTCCCCTGCCTCCTGTTAGTCTGCAACCCTTAGCGGCAGGGACCAGCCCGGTAGGTCACAGAACCTTTCATTGCTAAACTTCAGCCTGCCCAGGTGGATTACAACTTAATGGCAACAGAGGGTTCTGTGGCACCTTTGAGACTAACAGAAGTATTGGGAGCATAAGCTTTCGTGGAGTAACTTGCATCTGAAGAAGTGAGGTTCTTACCCACGAAAGCTTATGCTCCCAATACTTCTGTTAGTCTCAAAGGTGCCACAGGACCCTCTATTGCTTTTTACAGATTCAGACTAACACGGCTACCCCTCTGAAACTTAACGGCAGCAGCTGATGGTTGTTCCTCAAAGAAGGTAGGACAATCAGCTGTTTATAGTCAGCTCCTTGTAATTTCAGAGAAATCACTGGCACTGCTCGGCCTCCTTATTTGTGGTCGCCAGGCTCAACAGAGAGGCCAAAGAATGAATCAGCTATCGGTGGCTGGACTCCTCTCTGATGCCCCCTCCGGGGCACGGTTAGCACATATGTAGGAGATCTTGCACCTCTGCAGCCCAGCCTGTCCCTTTTCTCTGGGCAGATGGCAGGTTTCTACGCAGGGACACTGCCTAAAGCCCTAGAAAATCTACTGTAGGAAATGAGCCTGAATCAGCTGGTTGCTGGGCTAGGTGGGACGTACAGTCCGTGTCCACTTCTAACATCCATCCTCCTGCTGCCTGGCATTTATGAAAGCGGCAGCCGAGTCCTTGGATTTCCACTCACTTTTCTCTCCACGTTGCTCCATTAGTAGTCTTATTTCATTGGTCTCTTTGGGTTCTCTAACTCCTTGTTAATCTGAGATGGCAGCTGGGTTGGGTTTGACAACGATTCGTAGCTACTCTACCTTATCACGGACTAATAAAGATAGTTTGGAAGAAATCCGCGCAGTTGTGGTGGTGGCTTTTAAAACGAGATCCTCTGGCCCTGTGCTGCTGAGTCCTCCTGAATGGGCAATCCAGAGACACCACACCAGAGTAGGGCACCGCGGGTGCTTGGGGTGAACTGGGCCGAACGGGGCCATGTCGTGCCTTGCCGATACAATGCACAAAGGGCTCATGTCACTTTAAAGGGTGTGCAAATGAAATGAGTTCAAAAGGCGAGGCCAGTGGCATCGCCAACTAGGCCTTCTGCAGGCGAAGAGCTGGGTTCAAATCCTGTCTGATTTGAAAATGTGTGTGTGTGTACTGGGGGGGTGCACTCTCCATGCCCAACCCAGTAAGGGCTGGGGCCTTCATCCCCATTGGCTCACCTCACCAAAACCACTCAGGCCCCGATCCTGCCAGGAGCTCCACATGCCCAGCTCCCTGCGCTGAGCCCTGTTGACTTAATGGGGCTCTGCATGGGCACAGGGGCCCATTGCAGGATCAGGGCCAATGCTTGGTCTCACTGGGCCGAGGTGCTCATGGGATAGCCAGACTAGAGTAGCAAGGAATGGCGCAGGCCGGGCACTAGGTGTTTCTGCTGAGCTAGTTGGACAGGAGCTAGGCTAACTGAAGGTTCAACACCAGCAGAACTATGTGAAGCCCCGGGGTGGAATAGGTGAGGACTGTGGGGCAGGAGTGAGGTTTTAAAAATGATGGGCCTGATTCTCATTTCCTTCCACCCAGACCTGTTCCCCCTCCTCTGGCAGTGCACAGGACTCTTAAGGCGAAGGGGAAAGATGATTAGGTTTAGACAAAAAATTTAAAAGAAGCCCTGTCTAAGGCTCTAGTCACCCCTGCTATAATTGAGAAAATTGAGGGTTAGCTCAGTGGTTTGGGCATTGGCCTGCTAAACCCCAGGGTTGTGAGTTCAATCCTTGAGGGGCCATTTAGGGATCTGGGGCAAAAATCTATCTGGGGATTGGTCCTGCTTTGAGCAGGGGGTTGGACTAGATGACCTACTGAGGTCCCTTCCAACCCTGATATTCTATGAAGATGAGATCCCCCGCTGCCCTCGCCTGATGTCTCTCCAACCCCGCTCTGTAGCAGCTGGTGTAAACAGATGTGTCCTGCCGTAGGCCCTGAAGGTCAATAGACCTGGGCTATTTCAGGCCAGGGGGAAAGGCTGTCCAGTCTCCCCTGATCGCAGCTGCGGCAGGATGGTCTCTCTGCCAGCAAAGTCCCAGCCCCATTGAGGCTTTATCAACCAAACTCAGCCGCTCACATTCAGTCTAGACGCAGATCACATCGCACCAGTGACGTGCTGCCCCCAAGCAGCACTGCTTAGGGAGCTGGGTGCCGCATTCTGCACTTGCTTGACTCTCCAGATTGGCCCCGTGGAGCACTGCAGCAACGCAGGCTCGAGCTGGCCAAAACCTGGATTACGCTGCGTGGCCCCCGCACCTGGAAGAAACGGCTGCAATCTCCTGGTCAGGTGCAGAGGGGAAAAACATTCCTGGGTCTTGCTCCTATCAGATCAACCCGCTGCGGCTGGAGATCCACTACGACCCCCAGAGTGCGAACCCCAGGTCCCGGGTGGTGGGCTCATGCCCCCAGTCAGAGCGGGAGATACTAGCCTCGCCTTCCCATCTAGTTGCTTTCCCTGTCCTACCTGCATCACCTCAGTCTGATCCAGATTGAGCTTCAGCCAGCTCGCTCTCATCTCCCTGAGACCCTGGGCTAGACCACTAACAGCACTGGCTGGATCAGATACTGAGCATCCCGAAAGCTCTGCAGCCCATGCCTCCTTCCTAGCCCTCCCCACGGCCCCACATTCCTACCGAACAGGAGGGGAGACAAAATGCACCCCTGCAGAACCTCCCATGAGGTGAAGAGCATTCAGCCCAGAAACAGGAACGGAGCCACCAACGAGCAGCATTGTCTACCCCTGCTGCAGTGTAACATACACCCGCTTTAAGGCCCTGCCACAGTGGAGTTAAAGGGCATTAGTATAAATGAGAATCAGACCCTACCTCGGTACTTGGGTCTGGATTTTAGGAGGGGGTCCTTATTAGAGCAGGATGAATATTGGAGGGGGGGGGGAGGGTGTGTGTGGTGGGGGGGGAGATAGTAAATTTGCTGAAAAATACATTTTTTTCAGGGCACCAAACCTATGAATGAATTCAGGGCAAAGCGGTTTGACAAAAGGAAAACAAAAATCAAACAAGTGGAAACCGTTCATATGGAAAGGCACCAGTTCAACTGTTTGTTTCGAGGCAGGGTTTCATTTAGCTGATTTATTTCCTAAAACAAAAACAACAAAAGGGGTGAAAACAACCTGAAATGACCTGAAACACCAAATACCGACGACAATTATTTCAGGTCGAACCAAACAAACCAACGATTTGTTTTGCTTTGGTGAGAAAAAATAAAAATATTCAGTTTTGGTTCAAGCCAAGCAGTTTTTCGGTTTTGTTTTGATTTATTTTTTGGTCTGAGGCCCAAACCAAATGAGGTCTATTATGGGGCTAGAGGGGTGAAACATAAGACTGATTGTCCCAGGGCGGTGGGGGTGGTCCCCCAGCACGTCCCCTGTGGTCAGGCACGGTGCTACAGGTGAGCTCCTGCCTCAATTTCCCTTCACCTGGGGCATAAACAAGTCCAAGCAGGGTTTCCACTATTAAGGAGTGTCCTCTTCAGAGGGACTCTCTCATTTAATGAAAAAGCACAACACAAAGGCATAACTGAAAGCTTCATGCAGCTGCTCCACCGGATCCCCACCCTGGGACAATCAGTCTTATGTTTCACACCTCTAGCCCCAAAGCACTCTCAGGCTGGATTCCCTGCCTTGAACTTGAGCTTCTCCAGCGAGGTGAGACACCACTGATAGTCACTTCCGAACCAGCTCCCCTGAATAGTCTCTGTCCTCTGGACCTTTCTCTGCTCTAGGGCTAAATTCCTCCTCGAGTCCTCATAAGCCCAACAGCTTCTTATCTAATTAACTGCCTGCCCAGCTAGTGAGGCTATTAACTCACCACAGGTAGATCTGGTTGGCTCATTCCCCTTAGTGGAGTTTGTCACAGATAAGCTGGGTGCCTCACCCGCTCAGGAGCCAGCCCCTATGCCAAGGTCAGTAACATTATCCCCATTTTACAGATGGGAAAACTGAGACACAGGGAGGCATGGTCACCCAGCAGATCAGAGGCAGAAATTGAACCCAGGTCTCCTGAGTCCCAGTCCAGTGCTCTAGCCACTAGGCAACTGCCTATATAAAGGGGAAGTAAGCAAATCCTTTTAGTAGAGGATATATATATAAAAAAAACCTAACAACACTTTACAGGCTCTGGGCTGGGAAGTGGAGCCAAGCGGTTCGGCGTATGGGAGGGAGCTCCGGGTTGAGGCAGGGGGTTGGGGTGTGGAAGGGGGTACAGGCTTTGGGCTGGTTGTGTGGGCTCTGGGGTGGGGCCAGAAAGGAGGGGTTTAGGGTGCAGGAGGAGGTTCCGGGCTGGGGCAGGAGGTTGGGGTGGGGGGGTGAGGGCTCCGGCTGGGGGTATAGGCTCTGGGGTATGGCTGGAGATGAGGGATTTGGGGTGCAGGAGGGGGCTCCAGGCTGGGGCTGAGGGGTGTGGAATGTGGTAGGGGGCTCCAGGCTGGGGCAGGCGGTTGGGGTGTGTGAGGGCTCCGACTGGGGGTGCAGGCTCTGGGGTGTGGCTGGGGCTGAGGCATTTGGAGAGTGGGAGGGAGATCAGTGCTGGGTCAGGGGGTTAAGGCACAGGGGGGCTCCGGCTGGGGTGCGGGCTCTGGGAGGCGCTAGGAATGAGGGGTTTGGGGTGCAGGAGGATGCTCAGGGCTAGGACTGAGGGGTTCGGAGGGCAGGAGGGGGATCAGGACTAGGGCAAGGGGTTGGGGGTGGGGGTGTGGGGGGGGGGCGAGGGCTCTGGCTGGGGGTGTGTGCTCTGGAGTGAGGCTGGGGATGAGGGATTTGGGGTGCAGGAGGGGGCTCCAGGCTGGGGCTGAGGTGTTTGGAAAGTGGGAGGGTGATCAGCGCTGGGTCAGGGGGTTAAAGCACAGCTCCCATCGGCCAATGGAAGCTGCGGAGCTGGCACTTGGGGTGGGGGCAGCGCGCAGAAGCCCCTGTCTCCCCCTACGCCTAGGAGTCAGAGCTGCTACTTCCGGGAGCCATGACAGGCAGGGAGCCTGCCTTAACCCTGCTGCACCACTGGCCAGACTTGCCCGTTCAGCAGTGCTGACCGGAGCTGCCAGGGTCCCTTTTCGACTGGGCATTTTGGTCAGAAACCGGGCGCCTGGCAACTCTAATAAGAGGCTGGGGGAGCAACGCCTGCTGTGTGCCTACGGGCACTGGAAGGGAAAGCTGATGGCAGAAGGACACGAGGGTGCATTTGTGGTACCCCGCAGGGTTCCCTCCCAAAGGCATTTGTGGAGGAGCACAGAACGGGCTGCCGTGGTTGCAAATCACCAGTAATGGAGAAGCCACGTAAAATGGGGGAGGAGGGTTAAAAAAACCCCTAGGGGGTAAAACCCAATATCAGGTGCGGGGAACCTTAATAGAGGGGTGAAGGGTTAAACTCCCAAATCTAAAGAGGAGTAAAACCTTAATGGGGGGGTTAAACCCTCCCAACTCTATAAGAAGGGAGTAAAAAGGGCATGGGGCAACACCCCCAAGGCCCCACCTATCTATGAGGGCAGTAAACTAACCCCACTCCCAAGGGGCAGCCTGGGGGCAGGAATGCCCTTTGCCCCTAGCAAATATGGCCGGAACTGTCTTCTGCCCTCAACCAAAATGGCGCCTGCTAGACGCCGCTTGGCCCAAGGCATTCCCCGCCACCGGAAGTCGGGGGGGCATTAAGAGAGCCCCGCCGGAAGTTGGTATGGCGAGCGCACCGAACTAAGATGGCGCCCGCCGGAAACAACGGAACACAACGCCACGTACTAAGATGGCGCCCGCTCGGGAGCCCTGACGCAAGGTGCCCGGCACTAAGATGGCGGCGGGGAGGGGAA